CCTGAGCTGGGCTCAGCACCCAGTGCCCTCCCAGTGCCCCCCAGTGCCCCCAGTACACCCAGTGCCCCCAGTCCCCCCAGTGCCCCCAGTAACGCCTCTCTCCCAGACCGACGTGTTCATCGCCATGGAGCTCATGGGCACCTGCGCCGAGAAGCTCAAGAAGCGAATCCAGGGCCCCATCCCCGAGCGCATCCTGGGCAAGATGACGGTGGCAGTGAGTGACAGAGGGACACTGGGGACAGCGGGGGTGCTGGGGACACTGGGGACAGCAGGGTGGCTCTGGGGCTCTGGGCAAGATGGTGGCAGTGAGTGACAGAGGGGACACCAGGGTGCTGGGGACAGGCAGGGGGTCCTGGCATGCTGGGCAAGATGGTGGTGATGGTGAGGGACACTGGGGACGCCAGGAGCGTTGGGGACACTGGGGACAGGCAGGGGGTCCCCAGGATCCAGCGCCCCATTCCCGAGTGGGCAGAGTGACAGTGACAGTGAGCAGGGTGGTGGTGGCACAGAGGTGACACCTGGGGACGGTCACTGCTGTCCCCACAGATGGGGAAGGCACTGCTGCACCTGAAGAGGAAGCACGGGGTGACCCACAGGGGGACAGGAGTGTCCTGGGCAGGGTGGCAGTGACAGTGAGCAGTGGGGGTGGCACAGAGGTGACACAGAGGTGGCACAGAGGTGGCACAGAGGTGACATGGGACTGTCCTGCAGATCGTGAAGGCGGAGTGACAGTGACAGTGAGCAGGGTGGTGGTGGCACAGAGGTGACACCTGGGGACGGTCACTGCTGTCCCCACAGATGGGGAAGGCACTGCTGCACCTGAAGAGGAAGCACGGGGTGACCCACAGGGGGACAGGAGTGTCCTGGGCAGGGTGGCAGTGACAGTGAGCAGTGGGGGTGGCACAGAGGTGACACAGAGGTGGCACAGAGGTGGCACAGAGGTGACATGGGACTGTCCTGCAGATCGTGAAGGCGCTGCTGTCCCTGAAGGAGAAGCAGGGGGTGACCCACAGGGGACAGTCAGGGGTCTCGGGGGTCTGGGCAGGGTGATGGTGGCACAGGGTGGCACAGAGGTGACACGGGGGACAATCCCTGTGCTGCAGATCGTGAAGGCGCTGCTGTACCTGAAGGAGAAGCACGGGGTGATCCACAGGGACGTCAAACCCTCCAACATCCTGCTGGACGAGCGGGGCCAGGTCAAGCTCTGCGACTTCGGCATCAGCGGCCGCCTGGTGGACTCCAAGGCCAAGACCCGGAGCGCGGGGTGTGCGGCCTACATGGCGGTGAGGGGACACGGGGACATCCCCTGGGACATCCCCTGGGACATTGGGGACATCCCCTGGGACACTGGGGACATGGGGACATCCCCTGGGACACTGGGACAGCCCCCAGAGCGCGGGGTGTGCGGCCTACATGGCGGTGAGGGGACACGGGGACACTGGGGACATCCCCTGGGACATTGGGGACATCCCCTGGGACATCCCCTGGGACATTGGGGACATCCCCTGGGACATCCCCTGGGACATTGGGGACATCCCCTGGGACATCCCCTGGGACATTGGGGACATCCCCTGGGACATCCCCTGGGACATTGGGGACATCCCCTGGGACATCCCCTGGGACATTGGGGACATCCCCTGGGACATTGGGGACATTGGGGACATTGGGGTTCCCAGCTTTGGGGTTTTGGGTGTTTGGGGGTTCCCAGATTTAGGGTTTGGGGTTCCCAGCTTTGGGGTTTTGGGTGTTTGGGGGTTCCCAGATTTAGGGTTTGGGGGTTCCCAGCTTTGGGGTTCTGGGTGATTGGGGGTTCCCAGTTTTGGGGTTTGGGGTTCCCAGGTTTGGGGTTCCCAGGTTTTGGGTTCTGGGTGATTGGGGGTTCCCAGATTTAGGGTTTGGGGGTTCCCAGCTTTGGGGTTCTGGGTGATTGGGGGTTCCCAGTTTTGGGGTTTGGGGTTCCCAGGTTTGGGGTTCCCAGGTTTTGGGTTCTGGGTGATTGGGGGTTCCCAGATTTAGGGTTTGGGGGTTCCCAGCTTTGGGGTTCTGGGTGATTGGGGGTTCCCAGTTTTGGGGTTTGGGGTTCCCAGGTTTGGGGTTCTGGGTGTTTGGGGGTTCCCAGCTGTGGGGTTTGGGGCTCCGTGGCCCTGCCCTGCCCCCAACGCCGCCCCTCCCCCAGCCCGAGCGCATCGACCCCCCCGACCCCACCAAGCCCGACTACGACATCCGCGCCGACGTCTGGAGCCTCGGCATCTCCCTGGTGAGCCCGCGGCGTCCCCGGCGTCCCCAAAGGTCACCCAGCGTCACCCAGCGTCCCCAAATGTCACCCAGGGTCACCAGTGTCACCCCAGGGTCCCCAGCGTCACCCCGGGTCCCCAAATGTCACCCAGGGTCCCCAGCGTCACCCCAGGGTCCCCAAATGTCAGCCCAGGGTCCTCAGCATCCCTGAATGTCACCCAGGGTTCCCAAAGTGTCCCCCAATGTCACCCAGGGTCCCTAGCATCCCTGAATGTCACCCCAGGGTCCCCAAATGTCATCCAAGGTCCCCAGCATCCTCAGTTGTCACCCAGGGTCCCCAGATGTCACCCTGCTGTCCCCAAAGTGTCCCCAACCCCCCCAGAGTGTCCCCAGGCTGGCCCAAACCACCTCTGGGTTCCCCAGGGTCCTCAGCATCCCTGAATGTCACCCAGGGTTCCCAAAGTGTCCCCAAATGTCACCCAGGGTCCCTAGCATCCCTGAATGTCACCCCAGGGTGCCCAAATGTCATCCAAGGTCCCCAGCATCCTCAGTTGTCACCCAGGGTCCCCAAATGTCACCCAGCTGTCCCCAGAGCATCCCCAACCTTCCCAGCTGTCCCCAAAGTGTCCCCAACCCCCCCCAGAGTGTCCCCAGGCTGGCCCAAACCACCTCTGGGTTCTCAGCGTGTCCCACGGTGCCACCTCAGCCCTGCAGTGCCACATCAACCCCTGTCACCTGTGTGCGTCACAGCTGTCACACCTGCCCCTGTCACACATGCCACACTTGTCATATCTGTGTCACACCGTTACACCTGTGTCACACCTGTCACCTGCCCCTGTCACACATGCCACACTTGTGTCATACCTGTGTCACACCGTTGCACCTGTGTCACAGCTGTCACACCTGTCCCTGTGTCACCCCTGTCCCTGTGTCACACCTGTCCCTGTGTCACCCCTGTGTCACCCCTGTATCACCTGTGTCCCCAGGTGGAGCTGGCCACGGGGCAGTTCCCGTACCAGAGCTGCTGTCCCTGTGTGTGTCACACCTGTCACACGTGTGACACCTGTCACACGTGTGTCCCCAGGTGGAGCTGGCCACGGGGCAGTTCCCGTACCAGAACTGCTGTCCCTGTGTGTGTCACACCTGTCACACGTGTGTCCCCAGGTGGAGCTGGCCACGGGGCAGTTCCCGTACCAGAACTGCAAGACGGATTTCGAGGTGCTGACCAAGGTGCTGCAGGAGGACCCGCCCCTGCTGCCCCCGGCCATGGGCTTCTCCGGGGACTTCCAGGCCTTCGTCCGAGACTGGTGGGGACACGGGGACATGGGAGGGACATGGGGAGACACGGGGACATGGGGACACAGGGGGGACACGGGGGGACACAGGGATATGGTGACATCGGGGGACGGGGGACATGGGTACCACGGGGACATGGGGGACACCATGGGGACACGGGGACATTGGGGACGCACAGGGGAACATGGGGGACACCATGGGGACATGGGGACACAGGGCACATGGGAGACACGACACGTGTGGACATACAGGGGACACAGGGACACACTGGGGACATGAGGGGACATGGGAACATGGGGGACACCATGGGGACACAGCAGACACGGGGGACACGTGGGAAACACCGAAGGGACATGAGGACACACTGGGGATGTCAGTGGGCACGCAGGGGACATGGGGAGACATGGGAAACACAGGGGACACGGGGACACGTGGGGACATCAGGGACACACAGGGGATATGGGGACACAGGGGACACACAGCGGGTACAGGGGACATGGAGGGGACACAGCCCCAGGGGTCCCCAAGATGCCACCCCCCTTCTCTGGGGAGCTCCAGGCCTTTGTCAGGGACTGGTGGGGACACGGGACAGAGGGGACACAGGGGGGGACAGGGGGGACACAGCGGGGACAAGGACACAGGGGGGGACAGGAGAGGGACACTGGGGACATGGGGGGACATGGGGACGTGGCCTGAGGGTCCTAAAGATGCTCATCCCCCCCATCCCCTCCCCCAGCCTCACCAAGGACCACAGGAAGAGACCAAAGTACAACAAGTTACTGGTGAGTGCACCTGTGACTGCCACACCTGTCACCCGTCACTGTCACACCTGTCACCCGTCACTGTCACACCTGTCACCTGTCACTGTCACTTGTCACTGTCACACCTGTCACCCGTCACTGTCACACCTGTCACCTGTCACTGTCACTTGTCACTGTCACACCTGTCACCCGTCACTGTCACTTATCACACCTGTCATTGTCACACCTGTTACTTGTCACTGTCACCTGTCATCTGTCACTGTCCCCATCACCTGTCACACCTGTCAGTGTCACTGTCACACTTGTCACCCGTCACTGTCACCTGTGACTGTCACACCTGTCACCCGTCACTGTCACACATCACACCTGTCATTGTCACACCTGTTACCTGTCACTTGTCACTGTCACCTGTCATCTGTCACTGTCCCCATCACCTGTCACACCTGTCAGTGTCACTGTCACACTTGTCACCTGTCATTGTCACCTGTCGTACCTGCCACCTGTCCCATCACATCTGTCTCGTCCCCTGTCACATCTCTCTCCTGTCACTCATGTCCCTGTGGACACCTCCCCATCACGGCTGTCACCACAGCCACGGCCACCCCCTCCCTGTCCCGTGTCCCCAAGGGCTGTGGGTGTCACCTCTGGGGGCACGTGCACCGTGCCACCATCCCTGGGGGTCCCCAAGTCCCTGTCACCTCCCCTACGTGTCTGCAGCTGTGCCCCCTGTCCCTGTGTCCCCAAGGCCACATCCGTGTCCTGTGCCCCCGTCCCCACCTTGTCCCCAAACCCTCAGCCTCGGTGCTCCATCCCCGTGTCCCCAAGCTTTGTCCTCCATGTCCACTGCTGTCCCCTTGTCCTCGTATCTCCCAGTGTCCCTGCTGTCCCCAATGTCCCTGACATCCACTGCTGTCCCCGATGTCTCTGCTGTCCCCCATGTCCCTCATGTCCCCCAGTGTTCCTGCTGTCCCCGATGTCCCCATGTCCCTGCTGTCCCCAATGTCCCTGACATCCACTGCTGTCCCCCATGTCCCTCATGTCCCCCATGTCCCTCATGTCCCCATGTCCCTGCTGTCCCCGATGTCCCCATGTCCCCTGTCCCCATTGCCCCTAGTGTCCCCCGTGTCCCTGCTGTTCCCCATTGCCCCTAATGTCCCCCGTGTCCCTGCTGTCCCTGATGTCCCATGTCCCTGTTGCCCCTAATGTCCCCCATGTCCCTGCTGTGCCCCATGTCCCTGCTGTGCCCCGTGTCCCTGCTGTGCCCCATGTCCCCATGTCCCCTGTCCCCACAGGAGCACACCTTCATCAAGCGCTACGAGACGCTCGAGGTGGATGTGGCCACCTGGTTCAAGGACGTGATGGCCCGGACAGAGTCCCCGCGCCCGGGGGGTGGCCTGGGCCACCACCTGCCCTTCTTCACCAGGTAGCGCCCGCCCGGCGCCGCCACGCCCGGCAGGGGACACCGGGGACAGCCCGGGGACAGCCGGGCCACCTCCGGGACAGGGACAGCGGGGACAGCCCTGGGACACTGCCCGGTGCCACCACGCCCGGCAGGGGACACCGGGGACAGCCGGGACATCCCCTGTGACACCAGGGACACCTCGGGGACAACCAGGACAGCCCTGGGGCACCACCCGGCACAGGGACAGCTGGGCCACCCCCTGTGACGGGGACACCTGTGACACCCGCTGGGGGCGGTGACACCTCTGCCACCTGCTCACGACTCCTCCCTGTGCCACCACCCGGTGACACCCAGCGTGATGGTGACACTGCCACGGCCACCACAGCCCCTGCCTGGCCTGGAGTGTCCCCAGCGTGTCCCACCTGTCCCTGCCATCCCAGCTGTCCCCTCCCACTGTCCCCATCTTGCCAAGGCCGGGGTGTCCCCAGCCTGTCCCCTCTGTGTCCCCCTGGCCATGCCTCAGTTTCCCACCAGGTCCTGTGTGGGGACAGGGCTGGGGACAGGACGGGGAGGTGGCACTGAGGGTGTGGCACTCTGGATGTCACACGCGGAGGTGACACTGGGAGGTGGCGCAGAGACACGGGCATGGCTGGGGGATGTGACACAGGGGTGACACCGGGGCCTGGGGATGTGACACTCGGCCCCGAGGGGACATTGAGGGGACACGGAGGTGGCACCAGGACGTGGGGACGTACACAGAGATGGCACTCGGGGACACGGAGATGGCACTCGGGGACACGGAGATGGCGCAGGAACGTGGCACAGGGGACAGTGTGGAGAGCCAGCACGGGCATGTGACAGCGAGGGGACACGGAAGGATGGCACAGAAATGGCACCGGGATGTGGCATGGGGATGGCACCGGAACGTGACACGGGGATGGCACCGGAGCGTGACACGGGGATGGCACCGGAACGTGACACAGGGATGGCACCAGGACATGACACAGGGATGGCACCAGGACGTGACACGGGGATGGCATCGGGACGTGACACGGGGATGGCACCAGGACGTGACACGGGGATGGCACTGGAACGTGGCATGGGGATGGCACCAGGACGTGACACGGGGACACAGGATGGAGATGACACCGGGAAGTGACACAGGACACAGAACAGAGATGGCACCAGGATGGCACAGGATGGAGGTGGCACCAGGAAGTGACACGGGGACACTGGGATGTGACACAGGATGGAGATGGCACCAGAATGTGGCAAAGGGATGGCACCGGGAAGTGACACAGGACAGAGATGTCCCCAGGCTGTGACAATGGAGACATGGCGCTGAAGGACACAGAGTGGTGGCCCGGGGACACGGACACGTCATGGGTGTGACATCGCAGGGCCCAATCCCAGGGATGTGACACTGGAATGTGGCACCAAGGATGTGGCACCAAGGATGTGGCACCAGGGAAGTGACACCGAGGATGTGACACTGGGGACACGGCCCAGGGATGTGACACCAAGGATGTGACACTGGGGACACGGCCCGGGGATGTGACACCACGATGTGACACCACGATGTGACACTGGGCTGTGACACCGGGATGTGACACTGGGGACACGGCCCGGGGTGGCCCCGGCTGCCGGGGCCGTGGTGGCACGGTGACAATCAGGGCCGGGCCGTGTCCCCGCCGTGTCCCCGCTGTCCCCCAGGCCAGCAGGTGCAGTTTTAGTGCATTGGGGGCGCGGGCGGCGCCGCCTCCCGTCACCCTCATTAATTATTATTATTAATTATTATTATTATAAATGCGCATGTGGAACCTGAGGGGCTGCGTCGGCGTCAGGCTCTGGGGACACTGGGGGACATGGGGACATTGGGGACACTGAGACATTGGGATGGGGACATTGGGACACTGGGGACACTGGGACATGGGGATGGGGACATTGGGACATTGGGGACACTGGGACATGGGGATGGGGACATTGGGACATTGGGGACACTGGGACATGGGGATGGGGACATTGGGATGGGGACATTGGGGACACTGGGACATGGGGATGGGGACACTGGGGACACTGAGACATGGGGATGGGGACATTGGGGACACTGGGACATGGGGATGGGGACATTGGGACATTGGGGACACTGGGGCATGGGGACATGGGGACACTGGGATGGGGACAGTGAGGACAGGGATGGGAAAGTGGAGGGTGGGGACATTGGGGACACGAGAGATGGGACATTGGGGACAGGGTGACATTGGGATGGGCATGGGGGGGACAGGCACACAGATGGGGGATGGCACAGGTGGACCTTGGGGACATCGGGATGGGGACAGGGACGGCAGAGGGACACGAGTGACATTGGGGATACAGGAAGGGATGGCACCGGGGACATGGGGGGGACACGGGCACAGGAGGGGTGCAGAGGCCACGCGGGGGAGGGGGACAGGGACGCGGGG